GAGAGAGAGAGAGAATGTGCGAATCTGAGAGAGCGACTAGGAAACAGAGCTGTCAGAAACGGAATCATCAAGAGGGGAAAAAAAAAAAAAAGGAAAACGAAAAAGAAAAAGATGAAAAATTAAGATTAAGAGGAGTAACCATTACTATTTCTAGGTATAAGGCAACATTTGTGTTTTCCAAGAAAGCATTTTAATTTCTAAAAGATAATATTGTAAACATGTATTGCTATTTGAGAGAAAAAGAGAGAAAGAAGAATGAGAGAAAATGAGACAGAAAGAGAAAAATTAACGAACAACAGTATGAAGTATAACAAAGAAACTTTGTTCTTAAAATGAAGCATATGGGAAAAGGGATAAAACCAAAGAAAAAGAAGAAAGCTAGAAGCCAGAAAAGGGGAAGAATATGGAAAAATTATTGAATCTTGTCTAAATTTTTCCCAGTCTTGAAAAAAAAGTTTAGAATTACGATCATAATTATAAGAAAAAATTTTAAGCTTATCTTATATTATTATAACTCGATTTGCGAAAGTCGTGTTTCCATTGATTGTATTCGAATTCAGATTGTTGGCCCCCTGCTGAGATGCCATTAATAGATTTTATTGCAGTTATTATTGGCGTGAATGAAAAGGAATTACTTAATTACTCGAAAAAAAAAAAAAAGAATGAAAAATTGCAAGCAATTAAAATTTTGAAATGACAAAAATTCTCAGCTCTATAAAGTGTTGTGTTTAGTGTGGAGCATCATTAAAAAAACTGGTATATGTTATTTAATTATAAATGTTGTTCAATAGTGAATGTCCAGTTGTAATAATGACAAGTTCCTACAACGACTGTTGACCACTCAATTGTTATTATTTATTGAAGGATTTATGTTTTGTAGAATATAGTTGTGACTGTTACTAGTGAATATATGTATTATCGAGAATATTAATTTTATTGATTTTTGAAGTTAATGTCTTAAACGTCCACATAAGAATCATATTCTATACTTTGGTTCAAATAGCAAAGAGAAGAATATGAAAAATAAAACACAAAATAAAGAAAAAGCAAGAAAATATAATGGATATAAAATAAAGGAAAAAAATACTGAATTAAAAAAAAAAATGGAGATCAAAAAAAAAATTGAAATTTTGAAAAAATAAATTATTGAAATGAGAAAATTAAAAATATAAAAATTGAGAAGTTGAAGAAGAGAAAATTGAAAAATGAAAAAAATTGAGAAATTTAACAATGAAATAATTAACAGTTGAAAAAAAAATATGATAAATAGAATAAGAAAATTGAAAAGCTGAGAAATAGGAAAATATAATATAACAGAAAAATGAAGAAATGTAAAAATTAAAGAAACGAGTAAGGGCTAAGGGTTAAAAAATCAAAAGAGAAGTACATATGTTAAAAAAAAAGAAGGAAAGAAATCGAAATAGAAAGACAAATATAGGGGGCAGTCTGGGAAATTCACATCTTTCCATTTATTCTATTCTTGGATCAACATATCAATCAGTGATTTTTTCACATATCAATCTGCACCTTTTGCAAGGAAGGTAAAAAAAACCCGTGAAACTCCAATAGTAGAAAGAATGATCGAAGAAGAGACCGCAAGAGTGGGAGAGAATGTTGCGGAAGAATGGGAGAGATTGATCTAAATATTTATCTTTAAGTATTAATGCGTCTGTTAAAAAAAATTTTCTAATATATATATATTATATTATATTATATTATATATATATATATTTATATATATATATGTGTGTGTGTGTGTGTGTGTATATGTATGTATCATACAAAGTAATTAAAAAATATATGGAACACATTTATAGAATCGATTACAGACGAAAAAAAAAATGTTAATACAAAAAATGATATGCAAAAATATTAATTGGAATTCATTTTTCAAAAATTCGATTCCAAATAATCACCTGAGTTCTAGCTCATTTCATGTAGTGAAAAACTAAATAATTAATAACAAAATAAATTCCAATCAATATTTTGTTAATATATCAACTTTTGTACTTCATTTCATGTTTAAAATTGATTCTTCGAAAGTGTCTCGTATGTTTTTTAACACTCTGTATATGTGTGTATGTGCATGCGTGCGTGCGTGCGTGCGTGCGTGCGTGTGTGTGTGTGTGTGTGTGAGAGAGAGAGAGAGAGAGAGAGAGAGAGAGAGAAGAGAGAGAGAGATGAAATATACTTTCTATACGCGACGATCGATCTGCAAGCCCAATCGTAGATCGATCGAACTATGATTGAAGTTGCTCTCTTAGAATTTTTTTTAGTTCTCAGTCCCGACACTTGTAACGTCGCCATTACGAGTTTATTGAGGATGAAGAAGAATATAATATTTTTCAATTATATTACATATTTTAAATGTAAAATATCGATTTTGTGATTTTTTAATTAAGTTAAAAATTCTAAGAAAATTTATTTAAAACAAAAATATAAATGATATATTGCGCGAATGATAATTGAAAAGTTTCGCAAAAGTTACAAAGTTTTCAATATGAAATTGTTAGGAAAAGATATCTTCTTTCTTCTTCATTCTCTATATTCTTCGATTTAAATCGAGCGGTGATCGTTGTTCTGGATATCCGCTTATTCAGCATTAATCCATGAACTCTTTAACGCGATAATTTCTAAACGAGTATCAATGATTTTGAATTAGTATCTTTAGTTCCGAAATTTGAATTTAAGAGAAAAGTTTATTTATTAATAAAATGTTATTAAAATATTATTAAAATTTGATTTAAAATTCAATCCACATTATTCATAAGTTATTTTTTTCAGTTTGAGTTGAGTAATCCCATGAGATTATTACTAGCATAGCTGTAGATGAAATTTTGAAGATAAAAAAAAAGAATATAATAATCATTAATACTCGTTTAGAGCCATTGAAGGAATTAGAATCTCAGAAAAATCTAAGAAAAAGCCAGGAGCAAAAGCTGCTTAAAGACGAATGATTCTATTTTGTCAAAGAACAGTGCCTGCATATCCACTTAACAGTCTCTTATCATTATCATTAGATGAGACTTAGAAATAATTTCCTTGAACTTTGAAAAGAAAAAAAAAAAAAATAATATATATATATATATCAAATATTTTATTTTTCTTTTTTTATTTTGCGACAAGAAAAATTTTTTTTATTATAAAATCGATAGGAAAAAAATGGCGGCAAAAAGCGGAATCTTGACGCGGCACTTTGCTCTATGCTTTTTTTAGTTAGTCTTTCAAATTTTTAGCTAGGAGGAAATGGCCTACAACGCGTATGGCTGCTCGATGAACCTCGAACATCTTCCTACCAATGTGAACAAAACTAAGAAAAAATTCCCTAGAAAGGAAAATCTCATATTTTCGAGGACATAACCAATAATGTAAAATTATCAAAAAATTCTCATCAAATTGATTTAATATTTTTAAACGAATAGCCATTTTCTTGTGTACCTGCACAAGTATTGCCAACATAAGAAGTATAACTTATGAAATAAACCATATATCGTTCAAAACTTTCTTCTAGTCCTCCTGTTATACTATACGAGAACAAAAAAAGAAAGAAAGAAAGAAAACAATCTTTGGAGCAGAATTAACACTGCTGTTGGGTTATTCAGGCTCATCCAGCGCCATGCTCGAACAAGCGTACTTCAAAATCACGGTAATTTGCTCCCGAACACCGAAAAAAGATCGAAGAAGGATTAGAAGATACTAGTCACGTGTTCAAAGATGCAATTTACAGCGAGAATTATCTTCCAACGCATTTGATGAGTGAGAGGAACCATGTGTGTGTATTTAAATAAACGTTCTCTTTTTTTCTTACTATTAATATTACTACAGGAAAAATCTTTTTTCTTCTTTATTTCTCATTTGGTTTCTTCCTTTAGGTAGAATTTTAACCAGATAACTTCTTTGCAAGTATGTTTAATTCAATCTTTATTGAATTACTTTATAGATTATGTTTATCTCCCTGAATTTTTTTCTTTGTTATTGAATAAAAAACTGAAAAAATTATTAAAATTTGATATAAAATCTAAAAGAAATCTTAAAAGAATTTCGCTTTTTAGGCTTTTGATCCTTTGTTACCTCTATCGAATGTGATATAGCGTATTGACAAAATTTGTAAGCAATTTCATTTATTGCCTTTAAATAGATATCAGATTTGTGTCATTGTGATGTTTATATATTATTATATATTATATTCGATAGAGGATCATTGACCAAATATTTTCAATCATCGAAATGAAAAAAATAACAAAAAAAAAAATAAATAAATAAATAAAAGAATACAGAAATACATATCAATATTATACTTGTCTTAGATATTATTTTGTAAAACTTTTTCGAAAATTAATTTAATTAAAAATTGAAATTCTATTTTTTTTTCCTGAAGTAAAATCTTATTGAAAATAAATCATCAACCAAATGTCATATTATAGTGTGGAGTAAGGATTAAGGAACATGTAATAGGGAAACAAAGGAGTGAGAGGATGAGTATGAGAGAGATAAGAAGAAAGAAATGTGTAGTAATGAATCAATGTAATTACTGAATTAATTTTTTTTCTTCTCTTGGGGAAAATTGTGGTATCTTGGGAAGATATATGCGCACTAGGAGGACAGAATTTTCCATGTAATATATATAGCCTTACATAACTACGTTGTTTAATATTGATAAGGATAAAAAATAAAAGTGATTATTCAGAAAGTAAACATTTTTAATATTATTAATATTAATTTTCAAAGAGCAAAATATAATGTCTTGAAAAAAAAAAGATAATTCATAATAATCTGTTAAATATCTTTACATAGGAATTATATTTATTTCTGATTACTGAAAATAATATATATATATATATATATATATATAACAAATAATAACTATTGCAAGATTGAGGCCAGAATACGTTATTCGAGGTTATTACAGACAAATTTACTTTCTTTTTAAATCTTTTCTAATTTCTCATCTATTCAAAAATATTCTAATTCAATCAAATTTCTATCTGTGACACTATTGATTAAATAAATACTAATTTTTTTTATTTACAAATTATTACAAAAATTTACAAATTTAAACAAAAAAACTACAAGTAAAAATTTGTCCCTATTAAAAGAGAGATTTCTTCTTTGCCTAACATATTCCAAAATATCAACTTCAAGAAAAATCAGAGTGTTTCTTTATCATGCTATCGATCTAAATAGGTAAAATTAAATCAAAAATATAAAAATTTATTATTTGTAAAATATTATCAATCATCTTGATATAATATAATAAAAAATCTAATCGCAGCCAATTAGCTCATATTATTTCTTATAAAATGTATAATTCTATCACGGATATTAGATATACAATGATATAATTATATATTATATATTAAATAATATGATTTCCCAGGTCTCACCGCTTGGAGGTTGCTACGAATTGGAGACCCACCCTGACCACGACGTCCCATCCACCCTCCATTAATACGAAAATTTATTTGTTCACAAATGATTCTCCTTTGTATGATATGTTTGCAAAACGTTCAAACTTTTGATCGTTGTGCAACACGAGCATCAAAAGGAGCTGTAAAAAAAACCGGCGCGGAAGACTAAACCTGGAAATAAAATTAAAATTAAAAGACTTTCTATCAATATTTTAAATTTTCATCGGTGTGAAAATGAAAAATGATTGATAGTAAAAAGCTTAAAAAAAAAAAAGAAAAAATAAGCAAAATAAGCATCCCAGAAAGCACTACATAAAGCATCTACTTATCTACAATATCTACTTTTCTACAATACACTACTCTTTACTTAATACCCTTGATTGTGTATGTACTTAATTCTAAATACATTTTCTTTAATCAATATCACATAATCTTCTATTCCTGTAAAAAATCCTGAAACAAATTTAAAAGTATAATATTAATATTCTATTTATTCTAAAAAATTTTTTCTTATTTCTTATCTGTATAAATTAATTAAACATTTTGTTTGTAATTCTGTCTATTGAAAATCTAACAAATTCTCTTCATATCATATCTACATTCATCATATTTACATTCACACTGACACACAATTTTCAAAAAATTTATGATACGACATAAACCACATGTGGCAAGAAAAAAATACAAATCAGGATATATCAATGATGGCTAGTGAACAAAGTCACATAGCTATCAAGTATCAAGTACTTGTTTATAATGAGGAAATTAAGGAAATCGAGAAATTAAGGCAAAGTTAAGATATTGCCTTAAAAAATAGGAAATATTAATTAGGAAAACGAATCAGAGGGAAGGCGAGAGTGCCTCTTCTAATATTAGGAAGAACAGAACATCCCATTGTTTATAAATCCCATATATCAAAAAAGCTAAAGTTTCTTCTAATCTAATCCTATTCTAAATCCTATACTACCT